CATATATTTTTTTTGTTGATAACTTGGCCATAATTTTATTGCATATATTAAAAATGACGCATTTTAAAAACGCACATAAATATATTTTTTATTAATGACAAAATAAAAAGATAAAAATAATATATAAATATATATATTTTTTATTTTTTATTTTTCAATTTGTTTTTGACATTTGACACAATTTTTGCGCTTTTTCGTTAAGTTTTTATTTACAAAATGAATTATGTCATTAAGTAATTATTTCTTCCCGTTGGTTTGAGAAAGTTTTAACTAATACTTTTTATATAAGAAGAATTAAAAAAAAAAAAAAAAATTTTTATGTGTACTAAAATTATTTATTTTATTGTTTTTTTATTTGTTTATGTATTATTATTTTGGTTGACATATAGAATTAATAAGAAAATTAAAATAATATAACAAACTACTTTTATTTTTTAATGCGTTTTTAAAATGCGTCATTTTTAATATATGCAAAAAAAATTGTGGCCAAGTTATCACCATAAAAATATATATTTGCGCGGCCATTCAAGGCGTGCAACCGCACACATTTCCTGAGAAAGCCCAGTGCCAGAACAAAGGGTAAGGCTAGAGGGGCTTATATATATATGTGTATATATATATATATATATATATATATATATATATATATATACATACATATAAATGCATACATATTTATAGATACATATTTATAGATACATACATACATACATATATATATATATATATATATATATATATATATATATATACATATATATATATAATGATATATATATATATATATATATATATATATATATATATATATATATATATATATATATATATATATATATATATATATATATATATATATATATGGGTTATGTGCATTATGTAGATAGTTTAAATTTGAAATTTCAGACTTATAAGTACAACAGTTCAGAAATTACAGCCTTAGAAACATGATTAAGTGGCCCCACTCAATATACAAATGGTCAAAACAGACTACTTTAAAGCTGTCTAACTTTTTTCTTAGTTGTAATCAGTGTCTTATTTTTTCTAGAATTATTTTCTGGATAGTTCACTCTTTAAAAAGATGGTTTTTATTAACTTGTGTTAAATTAGATAAAAATTATGACCTCCTCCACTTTGGAAAAAATCATAAAATTTCTAAAATATGCCAAAATGAAACAAACTGTAGCATTATATTATTCATCCACAAGTTTTTACAGATAATTTTTCTATTTAGCTACTACTGTTTGCAATAAGTCGGAATTAGGGTTGGCATTTGGCAATTAAGTCTCATCCTTTCTATTACTGTTCCTAAGTGCTCCAAAAACTCTTACTCATCTAGTTTTTTCCCTTGAATATCAGTTCTTTGGAATTCGCTTCCTTTATCTTGCTTTCCTGATTCATATAATTTGCAATCTTATAAGTCGTCTGTCAATCGTTATCTTGCTCTACAATCATCTTTTCTCTTCCTGTAACTTCCAACACTAATTAGTGGTTGCTTGCAGCCTTGTTGGAAGATGATGAAAAAAAAAATGTCGACCTAACTGCCGACCCTAAAGTATTTGAGGTCGGCAAAAAATTGCCAACCTCGTTTCTATGTTTTATGGTAAGACCTATGTACCAATTTTTTTCCCTCAATTTAGTTAATTATTTCATTTTCCTCTTTTGTTATGTTGTTTTTTTGTCGAAGTGAGCGACTATTTTCAACTGCCGCAGATGTTATTATAAAGAAAAGAAATCAATTAACGCCAGAACATGCAAAGATGCTGGTTTTTCTGTATGAAAATTCAGAGTTGAAGATATAGCTATTGCAGCCTTGTTGGAAGATGATGAAATATGGAAGATGATGAAATAGATATAGCTATTGCAGCCTTGTTGGAAGATGATGAAAAAAAAAATGTCGACCTAACTGCCGACCCTAAAGTATTTGAGGTCGGCAAAAAATTGCCAACCTCGTTTCTATGTTTTATGGTAAGACCTATGTACCAATTTTTTTCCCTCAATTTAGTTAATTATTTCATTTTCCTCTTTTGTTATGTTGTTTTTTTGTCGAAGTGAGCGACTATTTTCAACTGCCGCAGATGTTATTATAAAGAAAAGAAATCAATTAACGCCAGAACATGCAAAGATGCTGGTTTTTCTGTATGAAAATTCAGAGTTGAAGATATAGCTATTGCAGCCTTGTTGGAAGATGATGAAATATGGAAGATGATGAAATAGATATAGCTATTGCAGCCTTGTTGGAAGATGATGAAAAAAAAAATGTCGACCTAACTGCCGACCCTAAAGTATTTGAGGTCGGCAAAAAATTGCCAACCTCGTTTCTATGTTTTATGGTAAGACCTATGTACCAATTTTTTTCCCTCAATTTAGTTAATTATTTCATTTTCCTCTTTTGTTATGTTGTTTTTTTGTCGAAGTGAGCGACTATTTTCAACTGCCGCAGATGTTATTATAAAGAAAAGAAATCAATTAACGCCAGAACATGCAAAGATGCTGGTTTTTCTGTATGAAAATTCAGAGTTACATGAAAACTTGATTGCTGATAATGAAGAAGATGATGATGAAATTCAAATCAGCAGGAAAGTTGAGATAATGAAAGATAATGACAATAATTAAACAATACTTGTACATAATTCCTACTTTTTTAAATTTTTGTCCTTTTATATATTTTTCCATGTTTTTTTGTAAATATATAATATCGGACTGTAGTCACTGACTTGACAATCTACAGTTTAATATTGATTTTTTAAAAACTAGTTTAAATAAAACATTACGCTCGTTGAAATTTGGAAGATCCTGTATTTAGAAAACGTCACTATGGCAATGAGTACTAACTACATTAGTTGTAAAACCGTCATTCCTGAGGGGCAAATATTTAACAAAAGCAAAACAGTTTATGCTTTATAAGATTTCAGTGGCCTTGTTGGCTTTGGGAGGTGAATTAATATTTTTTTTAAATGTTTGATTTTGAGTAAAATTAAGGCTGAATAAAAGTTTCAACTTAAGACTTCTAACAAAAGATTGCCCACTGCATCCCTATAAAACAATTGGAGTTATAACAAACAAAACATTTTATACTATTTAAAATTAATTTTGAGAGTATGCAGGGTTTCAAGAGACCAGAGACAATAGTTGTGCAAAAGTGCAGTGTAAACTTTTAAGTTAGCAACGTATCCAAGACAATTTTAACGCTTTGTATATCAATTCAAGTGTCCAAACTGTTCAAATTCAAAGTTGTTTTAATTTAAATAAACTTAATTGTCGCATAAGTTCTTTTAATTTTTCAGCAAAACTTATTGAAAAGCAGAAGCAACAAAAATTGCCTTGTCCTTGCCTGGTCTTTACATTGATAGAAAAATTGTGGCTAAGATTAAAAATAAAAAAAATCTTTCTTAACATAGGATTGTAGTTTAAAACAAATAACCAAAAGCATTTATTGTAACAAATTCTCATTTAGTTACACATCAGACCAGAAACTACCTTACACAAGATTTAAGATACAAGGAGTTTTATTACAACAAAACATGAAACCAAAACCTTCATTAATTTAAAAATTGTAAGTTTTTTTTAGTTTTTCCTAAAATTGAAAAAAAAAGGAACTTATAGGTTTCTGAAATAAACAATTTAATTGTTTCATACCACAAGCATTGTTAAAACTTTTTGAATAATTTAGCAGTGTAAAGCAGTATTGAAATATCTTGTAAGCTTGTAAAAAGTTTACAAGATCGAAAATACCTTTATTCAATTTAAAGGTATTTTTGATCTCATTCTCTGAACCAGAAATTTTAAATTTTAAAAAATTTGGAACTATTGCAAAGTAAAAACAATAGACAGATAAAGAGTTGAAAGATAAACAAATATTTCAATTACCAAAACTAAGCTAAATTATTATAACAACTATGTTTTAATAAAGATATACTTACCACTGGTTGAATGTAAACTAGTGTTATATCATCTGTAGGTATTAGCTGCTCAGGTATTACATTTTCAGGTCTCTGCATAGACTTTTCTAAAGCTACTGCCAGAGCAACTGCTTCATCATCTTCTACTTGTCGCACACATTTTAAACCAGGGTCATAGGCAGAAGATGGAGGACTAACATGAGGTTTCTGCACATTTTTAGGAGATGCAGGTGGTGTTAAAGCTGCAGAGGCACCAGCTTCAGCTAATTCTTTTTCTTCATCTTCATTTAGTGTGACATCAAAAGTACCTTCATTTTAAATAAATTCAACTAAATTCATCTTAAAATTAAATAATTTAGTTATCTCAAAATTTTGTAAAAATTTTTTTTTATATCAAATCTGTTATTTTGAAATTAAAATAAAATTCAATAACCTCGCTGATCTGGGTGATCTTCATAATCATCTAAAATATTCAATATATCATGTTGCTCCCTCTGAGCTTCTGAAGACAAGTGTCTATGAAGTTTACTCTTTATACTATGATTTAAATCATTTATTGTTTTTTTGATACGCTGAAATGCCACTGAATCATGTGAAGATATAGCTATGCATTTTACTAGTAATGACAAAGCATTTAAATGTACTTTTTTATGAGTAGATAATATTGCTGAAGTTGAGAAAATTACAATGTCATGGAGCCTTTGAATAGCTACATCATCAAATGTTGAACGAGTGTGAATATTCTCTTCAAGAGATGATAAAAATTGGTTCAAATCCATATCAATGCGTGGTGAGACTGGTAAAGCAAGGTTGAGAAGATCGTCTTCACAACGTAGCACTAAATGACCATGTTCATCAAGCAGTCGTCTCATAAAAGCCAAGCGACCTAACCACCACTGCCAATTGGATAGCTCTTCATTATTGATTTTATAACATGTAAATATTAGATTCATAAAATTTTCTGATCCATTACTCAATGCATAAAGTTCACCTTGTACAAACTCTATTAAAACTTTAATGGCAATAATGACTACACGCCTAAAGAGCAAAATAAATGAAATAGTAATATAATAATAATTATATAGAAAACTTAAAAAAATAAATAGAAAACTTTTAAAATTTTAAATTGTGTGAGTAAGGTATGCAGGAACACGGGAGAAAGTTTTTTGCATAGATTTCTTGCAAAGACCTTTGTTCCCAGGAGAATAGAAATAGCAGTTTTACAAGAAATCCATGGGACATAAGGTAGACTAAGATTTGACTTAAAACCGAAAAAAAGGAACAAAAAATATTATCATAAATAAATACAACAATTAATTTCTTATTATATAAAACTAATTTTAAATAGTTATCAATGCTTACTTTGTATATTTTTTATTATATTGTTTTTTATTACATTAAACCTTATATGTTTAAATATTAAATCCTAAAGTTAGTAAACTTGTATTAATTCTATTTTGAAAACCAATCGTGTTAAAAAGAGAAAATTCATTTAAAAAGTTAATAACTAATGTTTGTAACATATCATATATTAAAAATGATGTTATATCACTTACCATTAAAACTTTCACATATGCCAGTCATGCAATGAATAAAAAATGCATAATGCTTAGACATATGCAGGACTTGCAATAATATACACCAAATGCATAAGCAATTAAAAAGAACTTAACAAGTCACAAATCACATAATAATGTAATTTGTGACTTTTTAAATTTTTAATTGCTTTTTTAATTACCCCATAACTATTTCAATTGAGAAGTACATACTTGTAACAAAAGCTATCTAAATTAAATTATTAAGTGTCGTTAAAAAAGTTTAAAGTTAAGCTACTGTGCTCCTTAATATAAGTAAAAATTGCTTTCTAGATGATAAAAAAAATTTTATCATCTATTTTTTTCTTTCAATGCTTTATTAACTATTGCTAAAAAAATTGACAAATATTTCTTCTCTTAAAGGGATCCCTAACTGCCGAGACAAGTTGTGTTCATATTTAAAAAAATGCTTAAAAAAAACATTTGGGTTAAATTTTTATGATTAAAACTATATAATGAATGCACACCATTAAATTTAAAATTCACGTTTTAGTCGAAGCTCGCCGTCTCTATTTTTTTTTGGTTCTAGGAGTCTGTATAATGTTAGCCGCAATTTGTAGACTTGATAATTTATTCCATGCGTGTTAAATTCATAACAGTTTTCGGTATATGACATTAGCATATAAATTTTTTCTTTCAAGATGTCGTATTATTTTTTTGCCAAAATCACCAAATCATGTTAATTGTATAACTTTTTACTAAATCCCAAAAAAAGTTTATGATGCAATTAAAAATTAAATTTATAAAATTTACAATAACAAAAATTTAAGATGTAACAAATATTTACAGTAAACGTAGTGGTTTAAACTAAATATAAGCCAAAAGAACAATTTTACAAAAGCGTATAAATCAGTTTAAAGTATAAACTGAAAAAAAAAACAAGTGACTTGAATAAAACATATAAACTAAACTAAGTAGAAAATAAATATTAAACGACTTATTTTGCTAATAACCGTTCAAATCAAACTAAATTAAAGTTAAAACAAGTATTTGTACTAAAATATACAAGAAAGTGTATAAAATATAAAAACAAAGAATCGCATTAAATTGTTCGCTACCAGCCAAACAAAAATCTTTTTGTAGCAACTGCACATTTTTTTAATAACATTTGAATAACATAACATTTACCATTAATTAAAATTTGATAATAAAGTTTTTAACACGCATCATTAAACAATAATAAATGCAAAGTGCTTAAAACTATTGTTTTTGTAAGTAGTAAACAAAACAACCTCTTTTAATGGGCCTCTAAATTAAAAAAATCTCTTTTAATGAATAAAAATAATATTTTTTCTTCAAAATACTTTGGTATTTACTTAACTAAATACTTTACACTTCTACAAGTTAAGTTTTACAGTGTTAACGCTGTTTTATTTTAACACTAAATTTAAAGTTTTTTTATGAAGGATTATTCAAGATTTTTTAACTTTGCAATAACTTTTTTATAATTACACAATATAGATCTTATTTTATCTTGATTATGTAGAGAATTAATAAAACCTTCAGAACAAACAAATTCGATGTATCTAGAATGAAAATTTATGTACAAAACAAGATAAATTGTAAAGCATACTTGAAAGCCGCTAACAGTGGCTTGCGATATTGAAAGAGTTAAACCATTACTAAACGTAAATTAAACATAAAACGAACAACTCTATTGAACCATATGAACAAAATATAAAGCGAAAAACCATATCATACTGCCTTTCGTTTTTCTCTGCCTGCGAACTCTAATAATCACAAAATATGTATAATTGTGTCATGATTTTGGCTGGCTTCTACAACAAAATAATAATAAAAAATTTATAAATATAATTAAATATATATATATATATATATATATATATATATATATATATATATATATATATATATATATATATATATATATATATATATATACATATATATATATATATATATTTGTATAATTTTTTACTGTCACAAATATTTTTTGTGAGTTAGTAAAAAATTATACAAATTATTTTAAAAAGATATTGCGATGACATCATATACCGAAACTGTTATGAATAATACACACATTGAATAAATTATCAAGTCTGCATATTGCGGCTAATATTATACAGACCCCGAGAACCAAGAAAAAATGGAGAAGGCGAGATTTGACTAAAACGCTAATTTTAATTTTGTTGGTATGCATTCATTATTTAGTTTCAATCAAAAAAATTCATCCCAAATGTTTTTTTTAAACATTTTCTTTAATATGAACACAACTTGTCTCGGCAGTTCGGGATTCGTTTAAAGAACATTTTAACTAAACATATTAGCTATATAAAAATTTGGCTTTCTTTTTTTTAAAATTTTATTTTATTTCATACCATTTGTAAATGATGAGTATATTTAACTTATAGAACCATTAAAAACATATCGTTAGACTTATTACTAAATGATTACCTAATTAACTACTACTACTACATTTCAGCAACAAATAGATATTCATATGTGTTTTTATTAATGGATATTAACAAAAATAATGAAAATATATATATATATATATATATATATATATATATATATATATATATATATATACATACCTGTTTGCATCTGCACACTTTAAAATGATTTTTTCTATAACTGGTTTGATTGCTTGATTGAACAAGTTAATTTCATTCGGTGTACGATTTTGAACTGCAGAAATAATTGCACGAAATGCACGCTACAAGAATATAAAAGATAAAAAAAAAATTAGATCAAAAAATTATAATAAAAAATAAAACTTTTATGTTATTTTTTATTAGTAGTAAAAAAAGAATAATATAATAAACTTTAATAAAAAAATGTTCTGACATTTTAAAGTTTGACATTAACAAGTAGGGTTTCTAAATCTTCTCAGTTAAGATTCTCTACAGCTAGAGGTTTGATTTGTTCTAGTAAACCTTTTCAGACATTGAAATTATCTGCATTAAATTCTAATAAGTTTGAAGTTGACTTTTTTCTTAATGACTCATGCATTATTGGTATTGTGTTCTAGCAAATTTTTACTTTTAAAATTTCAAAAATCAAAGAGTAAAACTTTACGAAGCAATATTGAAACAAAATTAAATCATTATAAAGAATGCAAGGAAAATAATTTTATTGCAATAATTTTAATTTTAAAAACAGACGCTTTCTGTATTTTATTTTTCTTTAAAAAAAATGTTTTACTGGTAATGGTAATAAGTAAAGTCAAAACACTTAGAAACTATTCTTACAAGAGCACCAATGAAAACATTATATACAGGATCAGCTAAAACATATTCTAATACAGCAGTAAATGCTTGAATCGTTTCATGCTTATTTTCGACATAAGATGTTGTTGAACGACGCTCTGTCAGTGTTTTTACAGCTTTACGACTAATATAACGCAACCCAGATTCTCGATGTTTCCAATCTCTTGAAAACAAACATGCAACAGCATCAAAGCCAAATATCTAAATAAACAAATTTCAATGAAAAAATTCTAAAAAATAAAATAAAAAAGATAAAGTGCATTCCAGTACAATTCAGTAAATTTTCAAAAAATAAAAAATGCATGAAAAAACTCACTGCAAAATGTTTTTTGATTTAAAGTTCATTTTGGATGACAAATTCTTATTTTAAACGTAAAATCCTACATTTATGAACTTTATAATGGAAATAAGTGATACTATTCAGACATTATCCACAATGAAAGCCCAGAGAAGTAAGAAGCACATTTTAATAAAATCATGTCCAAAATAATATTAGTTTTTTTTCTATTGATCAATTAAGTAAAATGTAAAGGCAATCTACACACAGAAAATTTAATAAAATAATATAATACTTTATTTTGTGAAAAGTGAAATAACTTTCTAAACTTTACAAGTCAAATACATAACAATGCTATACTTTACAAGTCAAATACTACTAGGATATGATATACATCAGAGACCAATTTAACTAATTTAACCAGATATGTTGCTTAACAAATATAGAAAATCAAAAGAATTTTAACAGTAAAATCAAAAAATATTTATATAACTATTTTTTTTTAACTCATACTGAAAAAAAAAAAATTTTCCTCCTCTTTAAAACACGATATATAATTCTACTCGTATAAAACTTATTTCAATATGTCGTATATGAGAAAAAAGACCTTCAAACAAAAATCTGTCTAATGGCATCCTAACAACTCTGAGTCGAGACGAATTTTCAGTTGTCAATAAATGAATTGTATCGAGCAACTTTCTTTTATTGCTAGTCCACAGATTTGTTTTATAAAACTCTTTTTATAGAAATTAAGTTTATATTAAATAAAAAACAAGATAAAGTTAACACTGGTAAGATAAAGTTAACACTGAGTCTAAACTGATTAAAAAGTATAGAAAATTTTTACATAGTCAAAATCTGATCTCCTACATCAACTCTGCAAAAAAAAGTACTTTTTAGAAACCACTACTTATAAAACTGAAATAAAAAAAAATAATCCATAAACACCTTAATTATGAAGTGACAATAATCAAAGATTAGGCAATAATTTTGAATGAAAACATCTTTGTTCGATGAGTACAAGTTTATTGTGCATAAAAAGGACATGTAAATACATGCATGTAAAATACAAGTGCATGCAAATTACAAGTGCATATAAATACATGCATGTAAATTACAAGTACATTTAAATGCATACATGTAAATACATGCATGTAAATTACAAGTACATGCAAGTATACTAAGCATAGTTTACTACTTGTATGTTTTCAAAACATATTTTATTACATAAAATATGTTTTGAAAACATACAAGTGCAATTTATATGTAACCATTCTTGAATAAGACTAGTGGTGTATAAGTATTGCATGTACATGCAATGTTAGACACTGGAATACTTGGTACACTATTTTCTTACCCAGAACTGAAAAAAATCAAATAACTTCTTTTACTTAACCATTTTTACTAGATTTCAAACCCCAACCATGTACTATTAAAATTAGCATGAATATAACCTTTAAATTGCACTAGAAATACAAACAATTCATCTTTCTCGTTCCTTTCATAATTAAAATGTTTTTAAATTAAAGATTTCCAGATTTTTTAGTTGATTCATACACAGCAAAAAGGAAAAAAAGTTAAAGCTATGGTCAAAGCAAGCTCTAGTGTAACAGTAATTTGTTCTCTTAAAAAGAAAAAAAGCTTTGAAATTAAATTTAAAAATAATTTTAAAATTCCATAAATATAAAAAACATCCAATCTATTAACATAAATGCAATATAAACCAATCTGTTACTTTTAATGTTATTAATATTGTTACAAAATAATTTGTAAAGACGTAAAGAAAAGTTAAATTGTTCATCATTCTCATATTAATATTATTCTTACTTTGTAATAGAATAATCATAAGATATTTGGTTAAAATTAGTTTCTTACTATTGCTAAAAGACTGCACCAGTAAAAGCAATTTGTCACAATATATAGGTTGATTGATTTAACAAACAACTTGTTATAAATTAATAATGAAAACTTAATATTGTATGAATTACTGTTAAATTTGATTCTACTTTGTTAATACTTTTGTTTTATTTGACGTAATTAATAAGTGCTTAAGATTCATTTTAAAATCTCAAAATAATGGAACATTTCAAAAATAATTGCTGGATTTTGAATTAAAACCCTATTGTAAATAAATGTTTTTTAAAAACTTTATTATCAAAATTGCTTTAGTTAGTTTTTGCATATTAAATATTTAACCACGTCTAAGTTGGAGAAAAGATCAAATCGATCTTCAAATAAGGTAGGGCTGCAATCATTTACTAAAATCCAAACCACTTATATTTGACAAATTTTTGTTCCAATACAAAACTAACTACAAAAAAACAAACCTCTATCCAAGATTTAGTAAGATTTTTGTATTCTTCTGGAACTACTTCATTACAAGGAAGACCTGGAGCATCCACTGACGCTAAATGACTTTCATGAGAATTGATGCTTTTAAAGTAAATATAAAGCAAAAAGTGAAAATAAAAAAAATAAAAAATTAAAACATATAATACAGTTATTTATAAAACTCATTCACTTTACAGGTAAAAAATATTAAATTTACCTTTGACCAAGTTTTTCTGGAGAAGTACTTCTTCGAGACTTCCAAACAGTTCGACACAATGGACAATTTAACTTTTCTTTACGCCTTTTGCATTCTTCTGCCCCTATAAGTTAGTTCACAAATGTTTTCAAAAAGTCATATTTTAAATACATATGACTATTAGGGTAGGTTAATTTTAACATTTTTTTAAAAAGCGCGTTTAAAAAATGTGCTGAAAAAAAACATAAAACGTCAACTAAAAATAAACAAATCATTAACTGAAAAGAGAAATAAAACTAAAATAAAATAAAAATTTAAAATCTTCTAATCAAATAAATGATAAAATAAAAAATAAACCAAGAAAAAAAAAAGTATAACATTAATATATTTATATTTTTTAAATTTAAAAGTGCTTCATTTAGAATTTAGCAAATATAGAAGTTTAATAATTATTTAATCTAAGCTTAATTACTTCAAAACTTAATTATTTAAAACTTTGATATTTTCTTGTCTCCTAAGCAAATAAAACATATAATAAAAAAAAGTTCCATTAAAAGGATTTGAATCCAAATTTAATACCGAACTAATATTTGTGCCTCAAAAAAAAAAATACTACACTGTCATTGTGATATGTTAAAAATTATTAGCTTTAAGGTATTGAGATTTAAAAAATTATAAGGTTTGAACTATTAATTGAAATGCTTCTAAATTAAAAAAATATATTGTTTTTATGCATTAATTTTTTTTCATTATTCAGATAAGACTTTGTTTCTTTATTCAGTTTATGAGTAGTTTTATTTATAATTTTTTGTTTAACTTAGTTTGGTTTATTTCAACACATTTTCAAAATACACAAACACTCAAACAAGCACATTCTCAAGTGCTGTGGCGAATTTGTCAAAACAAAACATTATATGCATGGTTATATAAGGCATGCAACTGCATGCCTCTAACAAAAATGACTCAATACAGTTCAGTACAGAAAGTATATTCACAAATATTTTATTAAAATTATTATCAACTGAATACTTACACACAGCCATACAATGATGATGAAGTCGATTTTGACAACCATCTTTGCATAATGTCATACTCTCACCTTCAACAAGATCTGATAAACATATGGGGCAAACTTCTTCTTCTTCTTTAATAGAACTAAATGGGTGTGAAGAGTTTCCAGCCACAACTAAAGGACTAGGCAATACAGTAGATTGTGTAGTTTTTGATTTAAAAATACTAGCTTGAATTTTCTTAGTTGATAGAGCAGCAATCCTTTGGCGATATTTAGTAAAAAGAGTTTCCACCTTAAAATAAAATAAACAGCAATAAATTCAAAGCGATTAAATCGGGTCTGTTTGTTTTTAGTAATTTTTTAAACCTCATAATTTTTGAGTTCTCTTGACCAAAGCAAAGGATCCGTTTCTTTAATTTGAAATACACGCAACATGACAAAAAGAACATGTACACAAAACTGATCTTTTCCACATGTACATGTCTAAATTAATAAAAATATATATATTAAAACGAAAAAAAAAAACTTATATTCTTGAAAATACATTAAATCTCTAGATTTTTAATTCCTTAAAAAAATTCTTTCTTTTGAGTGTATTGCATGAATACAAAACATAACTTCTTTCATTGAATCATCTTTTACTAGTATAACAGTGTATATTTAATGTTTATATCAGAATTGATAATGAAGGACCTAAATATATTTTTATTCCACAATTCTTTAAAACCAATGTTTTTTATCATATAGAACATATTAAGGGGGTGACAGTATAAGTAACTATTAGAGTGTTTTAAAAAACAACAAAAATGTTGTTTTTTAAAACACTCTAATAGTCACTATACTATAAACTATCAGTTAAGATTAGCTTAAAACCTTATGCACTTATAATTGTATGTAGTTGTGAGAATGTTTGTAAACTGCATATCAAAATATTTACAGTATATCAATTATTTCATTTGCAAGAAAACAAAAAGATTTAGTCAACACTTTTAAACATTTTAAAGATTGTGGCTTGTTTCAACCTGATTATAAAAATCTTTTTGTGATCAGGTTGTATTTCGCTAATACTAATTAGTCAATAGTATTGAAAAAATAGAACGTGGTCGCAAAATAAAATTTTACAAGGGGAGTAAAAATCTCATGACAGTAAAAATTTAGTACAAAATTTTTACAATTGAATAGAAATTTAATATAAAATTTTTTAACTGCGAAGTAAAAACTTATTATCAGTTAAATATGTAAAACTACAGCAAAATATATATCATAACTAGAAATACAGAATACTAGTTGGCTTGACAAAAAACCCATTTTTCATTTTCAATTACATCACAAAAAAACTTATTTTTCAAAAACAAGTTTACTTTTCATAAAAGTTTGTAATATTGGAAAAATTGAATTCAACTAACATCTAAATTTTATTAATTCTTAATAAATATTAAAGAGCAATAAATTTTTCAACTATTTTTATTAAAAATATCTAATGATTAAAGTTAAAAATTTAATGTTATGGTGAAGTGACACTTATACCATGATGAATGGCCACAAAATATCAAATTTAGATTAAAAATTGACAATTTAATTTTTATTATAAACTTTTAAATTATAAATTATAACCTTTTTTTTTACAAAATGATTTTTTCATCTAAGGCATAGAAATGAAATTTCCCATTTTTAACATTCATTTTAAATTTGAAACTACTAACTTAAATCATATAAAACAAAACTTTAATGTGAAATTTTTAACATCTGTTTCTAATTAATATATAAATTTCTCGTTAACTTAAAAAAATCAAATACTTCTGCCTACAACTTGGTGGCCACAGCCAGCTGGGAGGCAGAAGCCACTGGAGGCAGTCTCCAAATCATTTTGCTTGCAAAACTTTATTTGGAGGTGGCCAAAAATGCTGGGGAAAAACAGAGGCTAGAAAATTTTTTATTTATTAAAAATGGTTTAAAGTAACCCTATATACTCCAGATTTGTTATAGAGAAACAAAGAAATATTTACATACACTAATGAATAATAGTGCAATAGTCAGTTTTTAAAATTCAAAAATAATCGCTACACATATAAAACTTTAATAAATTAAAATTTGATTTCAAAATAATTTTAACCTCTATGCGATCTAATGAGATAACCAAAGATTATTATTTTTTTTTTTTGTAAAAATATTCATTTTCATATATCATACGACTTAAATACAATCATGAAAAATGTGGAGGTACCTGAGGACCAATTATGACTTTATATTTGTGATCGGGAGAATCACCTCCTATATGGAACGAGTTGGGTCCAGGTTGTTCAAGAAGATAAAGTCTTGCTTTTAATACTTTAGCAACTTGTTTTTTAACACGATTCATGTCAGCATCAGCATGAGGATCAACATTTGGCGATGGTGATCTCTTTGAAAACCGTGGAGACGGACTTCGTTTTCTATCTGATTTTTCTACCTATAAAGTTAAATGAAAATTATGCAGAATAGGTAAGACATTCATTACATATTTGTTATAAGTTAACCTCTTCCTAAATTATATATTCTTAGTGGAAGACTTGAGGTAAATGTGTGAGTGGTTGCATGGAGTGGTGGGGGAGAGAAAATTTTACAACCTTCTTCCAATAAAAATTGAAAGCCAAAATTTTTTTAAGTTAAACAAACAAGGAGGGGAGGGGGCACTTGTGATAGACCATGTTAAATTTGGTTTAGTTTTTAGCTTATCCTTTGTATCCATAGTTATTTTGAAAGCGTAGTTGTTTAAGTTTTATGTTTTTAGATGATTGCTTAAGGTTTGCTTATCTCATTATCCACACACCTTCTGTTGAACCTGTATTTGTTTTGTTGGGTGTGTTTGGGAATAATGCAATTCACTTATAAATTACATTTGTTTTTCTGCAATATCATTTCATAGAGCAGGTTTCAATTAGGTTATAATTGCAAGCTAAAATGGCAGTTGGGTTCATCAAAATAATTTTATTGTTATGATCCTTTACAATTTTTGCATATTGTTTTTTGTTTTTTTTAAATTAATATGTAAAAAAAACAAATTTATTTGTTTTAATTTAGTACTACATTTTAATAATATTCATTTGATGAGTAGAGATATTATACACCAAAAGAACACCAAAACTCATAACAATTCTCAAACAATTCTTTGATTTTCTTATACAACTTTCTTTTTTTAATATAAACTAGTAAACCCTATATACATTTTTATTTCAATTTGTAAAATTACACTGCTTACAGTGTTAATATTGAATGTGAATTATTTATAAAAATACTTTTTTACATAGTAAAAGTTAAAATAAAATCAATTTTACTTTTAAACAAACATTTTTTTGTTTAAAGACAAAACTATAATAGAAAATATATTTAATGAGGTCAATTATAACTATTTGAATAGGCAACCTAATTTCGTCTAATTTCTAATTTCTAAAAGGTTCTAATTTCATCTAGATTGTTTTGCTATAAATTACTGTAAAAAAGATAGCAATACAAGTTAACATAAAAAATAAACTTTTGTATTCTTAAATCTTAAAGAACAATATATAAATTAATTGAATTTAAATAGGGGGTAAATATTAAAATAAAAATTATATTTAAACACAAAAAATCCCAATGTTCAATAAACCAACCTGCTTCATTAAAATAAAAGCTGTCAACCTTTACTTTAATTATCAACCAAATTAAGTGCAACTAAACAAAGTAAAAGGAACATTCATATGTATATTCAATTTAATTAATAATACACATACACACACACATATATATATATATATATATATATATATATATATATATATATATATATATATATATATATATATATGTATATATATATATATATGAATATATATATATATATATATATATATATATATATATGTATATATATATATATATATATATATATATATATATATATATATATATATATATATATATATATATATATTAAATTTCTGATGAGTCTTTGTTGATGAAACACAGTGAAAAATGAAAAAAAATTTTTGTTAAGTGATTTTTTACTAATTTATAATTCCTGTTCTTTTAAGAACATTGAGCACTCTATTTTGTAGAATACATATTGTTTAAATATATATATATATATATATATATATATATATATATATATATATATATATATATATATATAAATATATATATATATATATATACATATATATATATACATATATATATATATATATATATATATATATATATATATATATATATATATATATATATATATATATATATATATATATGTATGTACATTTAATATATGTATATAAATATATATATATATATATTTATATATATATATATATATATATATATATATATATATATATATATATATATATATATTTATTTATCTATAACATTTTATACCTAAATTATAAGTGATTTAGGTTGATAGGAGTTAAACATCAAAATAAAACATTGAAGTTTTGGAAAGTGATGTGAAACCATGTAAGCAGATGTTGGAACATGAAGTTATATACAACATTTAATGATAATGAAACAGAAAAGATAAAATTTTGAGCAGAATTGTGTTCATAAGAAATTTATAAGTACAAAAAAACAGTTTAAAATGTTTGGTTATGATTTGTTATTGTTTTTGAAAAAAAATTTAATTTGTTAACAGTAGCTGATTTGAATATCTCAAATGCGAGACAATATCTCAAAAGCGAAACAACATGGAGATCAATTAACCATAACTAATAATAATTTTAGCAATTGTTCGACAGAAAAAATCTGGAAACTTAAGTTCTTTTTATTAAACAACTTTAACTTTTCTTTTTAAGTTTACATTTATGAAATAAATATATTTACAGAGCATGTTTTTTTTAACTTACGATGATTTTCTGAAAATATATTCACATTTATTATTATTTGTTTTCATTTTTTTATCTTCAAGTTTAATAAAAAATTAATTAATCAGTATTGTAAGAACATAAAAATTGGGAAAGAATCTAAATTAGAGACAAATGGACATAAAATTGGAAAAATGAATTATATTTATATTCTTAAGCAAAAGAAAAATTAAAAAAAAAAATTTATTTCATATGTTCATATTACAATATAAAAATAATTTCGAAATAATCAACAATAAATTGAAATCTAGTTATTTAAAAATTGAACATTCTTCGTTCTTTTTTTTTTTAATAAGTTTTCCTTTAATAAAAGTATTTTTTCTTTTATAGATGCATTTTTTTTTTCCAAGTCGATTAACTCCTTTTTAGAAATGAAATAATCTCTTTCAGCCTGTAGCTTTAAAACTTCTTCCTTAAGTTTTAACTTCTTCTCTGTAATGTAAATCTCCATATCGACAGTTAACAGGTGCAGAGCTGGAGTTCTTTTTTTCTTTGTTCCTGAATTGATTCAATCAATGTTCAAGCGGTGTGTGACAACAAAGGAAAGTTCATTGATGTTGTTGCAAAATGGCCTGGGAGCACACATGATGCAAAGATTTTAAGAGAGTCAAAACTTGTTAAGAAATTTATAGATGGAACCCTTAAAGGCTTACTTATTGGTGATTCCGGCTATCCGTGTTTTCGTTGGTTACTTACGCCCTATTTAAATCCAACTACAGCATCTCAGCGTAGATATAATATATCTTTAAGAAAAACAAGGGTTATAATTGAACAAGTGTTTGGAAGGTGGAAAAGACGATTTCATTTGCTTCATGGTGAAATTCGAATGACCCCTGAAAGAACCTGTACCAAAATTGTTGCGTGCGCAGTATTGCATAATTTAGCAATACAGTTAAATGACGGAGACATGGATGAAAATTCAATAGAAAATGATGAAAATGATAATGAAGATATTGTAGCTGAAAATAGTTTCCAATTTCGTGATGATTTTGCTTTGGGACATTTTTGACAATAAGTTATTTGAATAAATTTACTCATTTTCAAATTCCTTTTTTATAATAATAAACGGTTTATTAATTTTGTATTTGTTGTTAATTTGTGATGGAGCGATGGAGTTTTATAGAGTAACTTAATTTCATAGTATAGTGAAACTCCAATTCAATTGTTTTAGATGGTGTCGATTTATAATTTAACTCTAAAAATATAAATAATTTAATTTAAAAATATAAAAAATATGTAATTAGTACAAGTTTAAAACAGTTTCTTATTACTTTAACTTGTTTAAATTAAGTTTAAAAAATAACCCAGCAATCATTTTAAAAAATCACGCTGTGATATACCATCTAAACAATATTATCGCCAGTTGGCATCGCAACATTTGGTTGTCATGTAAAAAACGGCACGAAAGTTAGATAACGGAGCGGGCAAACGGAAAGAATTTAACTGACAAAGTTAACGGAGCGGTTAATAAACGGTGACTTAACGGAAGGATAAGAATACGAGATTTCTCTATCTGTTTCGTAACGGCCCGTTAACAATTTTTTTCTTAACGGTCACTTGAACTCTCCGTTAATTTAACGGAGAGACGTGAATACGGCTGCTGTTCTTTTAGAAACATTGAGCACTCTATTTTGTAGAATACATTTTTAAAATTGTTTAAATATATATATATATATATATATATATATATATATATATATATATATATATATATATATATATATATATATATATATATATATATATATATATATATGCGTGTTTACATAATGCTGTGGTGGTGTAGTGGTAGTGGTAGTGGCTACATTGTTGTGGTTACAACCCTCTCTCAAACTCTGAAAATCTTGTTTCATAAACAAGATTTTCAGCGTTTGAGAGAGGGTTGTAACCACAACAATGTAGCCTCCTTGACTATAGTGGCCCTCCAAGGCTTGGGAAGTAGAATATTATAAAAATTAATATATTTTTATGTTATTTACCAAAAATAATGTCCAAAGGCCACTACAGTTGAGAATGATACTTTTTGTGGTTCAACCCTCTCTCAACTCTTTAATTCTGAAAAACAAACCTTAACAAACAAAGCCACTGCGCAGTGAAACAAGTTGAATGCGGTACTACCAGGCATGTGATGGGGATCAAACTAAAAACTTCTCGTTCATAAAGCAAGTGCTCTACCACTACCGCTATGCATATACTAACTATATGTATATGCGCTAGCTATGTATACAGCCCGTAAAATCCAGGTCAAAATTCAGCAAAGCCGACACAAAAGCCGAAAATCTTTGCTTTACTACAGTATGCAACTGCCAATCAGAATCTCTAAAAGTGTCAGCATGCAAAAATAACAGTAGAGTGCTGACTCCAAAAAGCCTATGCCGGATTTTTCTAAAAACGCCTACTTTTGCGGGATTTTACCATATAATCTTGACAACCATACAGAGTTAACTAAGTAGCATTACATTGCATAATAAAATTTCTGGTTTTTATCAGCATTTACTTTATTACTTTAGAATGTAATGATAAATTTTAAACCAAAGTTAAATCTTTAGGAGAAGGTAGAAAAATCAAGGGATAATTTTCATTGCCAACGGTTAATTGCTAAAACAATATTATGTGTTAAAAAATTTTTTATAATGTTAAGTAACTGAACAATACATAATCCAGGAATTATAAATACTTTATTGATATTATCATTAATATATACCAAGTTTTATTTAAAATAAAAATTTGCCTGATATCTTGTAAATCTAGAGTTTCAAATCAAGTGTTTCACTTTTGTTCCGAAAACAGCTTGGTTTACTATTTTAAATAAAATAAAAAAGGATATATGAAATAATTTAATTGGTAATTTTGTTTGTAAAAAAAAATTAAAGTTTATTTGCATTCATGCTATATAAAAAGCATATATAAAAAGGTCAAATAACAAACTTGACATTTGAATTCTATAGTTACATAGCAATACAACAACAACAAATAAAGTTGATGAAAAAAGCAATAATTAAATTTAATCTTGCTATTTTGACCTCCCAAAATGAATTCCCACTAGTCATGGTTGACCAATTGAAAAAAAATCGGAGTTAAAAACTATTTTGGATTTAACTCGAAATTAAAAATCAAAATAAATTAACAAAACTTAATTATTTAAAAATTGGAAACTGATATTTTTTTATGTCGACTAAGCAAATAAAACATGAAAAAATATTTGTTAAAAGGATTTGAACCTTCATGCAATGCCTCATTAACAACAACGGCCTCATAAATACAATAATTAATCATCCAAAACACTACACTCATGTTGAAAAAATTATTAACTTTAAACTATTAAGATGCTTTTAAATCAAATTAATTATTAGGTTTAAATTATTAATTGAGATGTTATTAAATGAAAAAATATATTAATTTTATGTTTTTATTTTACTGGTTTATCTTTTAATTGTTTTATTATTCGTTAAAATTTTGCTTGTCTTTTCAGTTTATGGTTTGTATATTTTAGATTATCTCTTCAGTTTAGGTTTTTCATAAGATTTTTAAAATGTACAAATTATCGTAACATGTAAAGTGCTGCGACCAAGTTGTCAACACAAAACACTGTATGGGTGGTCATATAAGACACGCAGTTGCATAACTTTTCTGAAAAAACTTGCATCATAGCTTCTTTATTAAATCAGTTCAACTTGTTTAATAAATCAGTTAAAAAATTTACCTGTTTTTCAATTCTGCAAGACCTAATTTCTCAAACTTTAACTTTAGAGTTATACAATGCTTTTAGTTTATACTGATATCATAGACTAATGTTTCGACTGCAAATCATATTTAAAAATTTATTCAGTCAAATGGATGGCAAACAAGAATCATTACAAAATTACTTTAAGAAAATCAAAGAATCGAATGAAATTAAATTGAGCAACTTATGTCCATTTTTTATGATTGTAAATTGCATTTTTTCACAGTAGTCATATAAAATACATTTTTTTTCAACAGTGCAAGAAAAAACTAATTCACATAATAACTTATAATAATAAATTGTATGCATATTTTAACATATAGCAAACATATTTGGAGTAACTGAAATTGAAACAAGGAAATAAAAAAAATAAATTAAATTAATGAGATCATTTATAGTCATATATCATGTATTAATAAAAAATTAAATAAAAACTACATTTCATGCTTAAACTCAGGACTAGAAGAATTATTTGAGATCATGTAACAAAAGAATTATGGTGATTCTTTTTTGAGTTTGTTTATTATACAACAGCAGATAAAAATACAGGTAAATATCCATTATATATTGACCAATATATAATATATAACAAAAAATGAAATGAGATTCAAAAAGTGAAAGAAGGCTTTCAACCACCTAACTATAAACACGTTATAGAAAAAAAATAATATCAAAGAAAAAGCAGAAAAGTTAAAAAATGAAAAATAAATTAATTGTGCAGAACAGATAAATTTTCTTCACGAGCATGCATAACTATTTTAATTAAAAAAATGAATAACTTTTTAGATAATATAAATAATACTATACTAAAAGGTGTTAACAAATAATCATTTTATCAATTAAAGAACTTGGTTTCTAAAATCCTTTTTATTAGTGTTGTTGAAATTATTAAACTTATGTAATTGTTTAAAAAAACTGATAATTAAGTTGAAAAAACTTGGCATCTTATCAATGCTAAATAAATAAAATATATTGCTAGGGTGGAGTAAAATGACAACATCTTGTACGAGAATTAATTTAATATATATGAACATCAATGAATACGAGTTTTCTCAATACTAATTTTAATAATATTAAGAAGTTTTCGCTAGATTTTATATATATATATATATATATATATATATATATATATATATATATATATATATATATATATATATATATATATATATATATAACACGTAAGTTATTTTTTTTGTATAATAATATTCTTATTTTGGTTTCAATCCGTCTGGTACTGCGACGATAATATCTATCCAGTATAGCATTACGTTCAGAAAGTTGAATAGACTTAAATAAAGATTATTATGTGATCAAAATAGAATTTAGAGTTTATTTAATGTGAATGAATATGTTACTCTATGCTAACTATGGAGTCGTATTTATACAAATAAACAAAAACAAGAAATAAAACAAACATCGACTTTATAGTAATCAAACCTTGTTAAAGCTTGTTTTTACATGGTGTACGTTAGGATTCATATTTTAACTTTGTTATAATAATAGCTTATGCAATAACCTTGAAATCAAAACAAGGCTTTTGTTTTCTACATTTATGTTTGATTCGTTTTCTACATACACAGTGTAAGTCGTAAACCTTAAACGATTGGCTGACAAATTATTAGGTTTTAGGCTTTTCACTTTAATTATTCAATGCGCAGCTGCGCCTGTTTTGCATCTTTTTTAGCGTCATTCAAGTTCTTTCCTCCGCGTGCGTTTCACTTGTGCTTTCACTAAGCAGGCGATATCGGTCAGTTGAGTGTGCTGGCTTTTTACAATTTTAAGCAATTTAACGTTCTTATAATGAAACGTGTTGGATTCTAACTTTTACTTTATAATTTGAAAAATTTAAACTTTGTTGTTATTTAGTTTAGTTTGAGAAATTAAAAGCTTTACAATTAATCTAGATCTATAGATGCATATGATTAAAAACTTAATTATTTCACATTCAAAAAATACGAATGATACCTTCAAAGAACCGTCTATTATTCAATTTAACCTAAATTTAATTTAAATTTTTGTATTTTTATTGTGTTTAAAATATTCCCTACTTCTTTATAAAGATGTCTAACTCGAGTTGAAAAAACATTTTAAAATAGTCAACAACAATTTGTTTATATAATTTGTATTTTTACATATAGAAGATGAATCCAGATAAGTTGAAAAAGTTGCAAAATGAAGTTAGAATTGGAGGAAAGGTAAAATTCCATGATTACATTGAAATTTAGAATGATCAAAATAAATTTTTAAAAATAGACAGAATTGAAATGAAATTTTATTTCTCAGGGTACGCAAAGGCGTAAGAGAAAGGTTGTACATAAAACTGCAACTACTGATGACAAAAAATTGCAAGGTTCATTAAAAAAACTTTCTGTTAACACAATACCTGGAATTGAAGAAGTAAATATGATTAGAGATGATGGGACTGTCATTCACTTTAACAACCCAAAAGGTATGTTTAATTTGTAAATAACAAACATTTTGATGTTTGGGTTTAATAAGCAGACATTGCTATCATAAATACTAAAATGCCACCGAGTAAAAAAATAATTGAGTTCTTTTTTACTTTAAAACCTATTATCTTGTGATCTAAGAATCTTTTTGGGATCTCTTTGGGTTGAAATTTAAATGCAAAATTGTTGATAATAGAAATTTTAAATGTTTTAAAATACTTAGCTAAATTTTTTTGTTTTTAAATGCACCATCTTTTTTTTTTTATTATCTTTATCAGTATAGTTTTTTTTTTTTTTTTTTTTTTTTGAATAATAGTTCTATTATTGATTATGTTATCATTCTTTTAGTAAAATGATAATAATATTACAAATAAAAAAAATTTGAGTTTCAAACAATGTTAATCAAGAAGCTATGTTTTAATTTTTTTTTTATACAAAAATTTGTATTTATAGTTTTTTTAAGACACACCTTAAGGCTGCTCAAAATGAAGACATAAATTTATCGTTAACAAAGTATATCTCTTATTCTTCCTTGTAAGAAATGTTGTTGTCGTACTTTGGCTAATTTTTCTGTTAAGGTTCTCTTTTAGACAAGATCTGTAAATGTGTTGTAAATATTGTTGGACCTGCTCTAGCTTATGAATTGAGCCTCTGTTTTTGTAAAGATGCGCCTCTTTCTATTTCTAATTTTAATGCAGCTCAACAAATTATCACTCGTTTCTATGATTGTTTCTTTATGCTCAAAAAACTAATTTTTTTCTTAAAACATTAGTGGTGCTGAGCATTAATGTGTGATACACTCTCATTTTGTTTTCTAACTTTCAATTACTTCTCTTCTTTTTTTTCCTAAATTACAATTTACAGTTTTTCAAGGTTTTTAACTCTTTGTTTTTCTTTTAAGTTGAACTCCATGCTTTTTCCCATGCTTTTAATACTCTTTTATACTTTTATACTCTTTGTTTCTGTTTTTTCCCAAAAAAATAAAATAAATTTAATTAGTAATTGTTTATAGCTTTGGTTAAAAGTAAATTTTTTGTTTGTTATTGTTTAGTTTGTTTTAATTTAGTTTCTTTCAGTAGAGCGGTCGCACCTGCACCTGTCGTGTGTGTCACTAAAAAATTTAGGCAGGATGTTGGGTATATACAAACATGAGGGTTGAAAATATTTTCAAAATTCGATTAATTAGGAAGGTCTAACTTAAATTTTAAAAAAATTTAAACTTTCTAAAAACATAAAAAAACGAAAGAAAATTTATCCTTACTAAAAAAATATTCTCTCCTTATATATAAGTATATATTTTTTCTTACATTTTAATATCTATTTATATTTATCTATGTTAAACTTTATTTTGTAAAAATTTTATAACTTATTTTATCTACTTGAAATTTTGTTAAAAAAGTAACAAAATTGCAGTGATTGGGTAAAATTGGAGAAAAGATGTAGCATTTATTTGTACATTGATTATATAATTATGGAAATAAATTCTTTTATTAAACCGTATTATTACTTATGACTTGAATTTTGATATTTTATATTATTCCACTAAATGTTAACATATTTTTATTTTTTATTATTTTTGTAAATAAATCCATCTTTTAGATTTTCCCTTAACTAAAAATGGATTTTGATGGTTTGCACAATGCGCTAATAGGTTTAGCATAATTTTTATTAGGTTGATATGTTGAATATCCTTTCATTAAAACATTGTTCATAGCTTTTGTTGAGAACTTGTTGATCGAAAATTCTTTTCTTTATATCACAGTTTGCAATCCGCCCTTATACTATAGAGTTTGGCCGTCTATTCAGTTTCTCCACATTTTAAGTGCTTCTAATCACGGTTTGATCTCTCTAAAATTGTTCTCTCATTCTTCACTATCAGAATCTTCTCATCATTGTACCTCTTACAACTACCTTAAAGTTGACTGGGACTCTTTCTATGATTTGGCTTAGGCAAAAATGTGTTTCTTAAATATTTTCTTGCATTCAGGCTGGCATGGAGTCTTTTAATCCCTCTCAATGATTTCAGGTCAGGCCCCACTCTTCTCCATGGCTTTCCTCACTGGTACTTCCATATCTATCAGCAAAACAACTTGTTGACTGTTTTTTCATCAATATCATCTCTTGGTTCCACTAGTTGTGTTCTACCTGATATAGGTGACAAACAGGTTGATCCATTGCTTGGCATTTGTATTACTCCAGCTTCTGTATCAAAAGTAATTTCCTGCTTAGACTCTTCTACAGCTTGTGGTTCGGACAACATTTATGTTATAGTCATGCTGAAGTGTCCTCTGGAGTTGTCGTCTATACTTTCAAAACTATTTAATAAGTGCTTATCAGAGTCTTGTTTTCCAGCATACTGGAAAGCGGTGTCTGTTATCCCTATTTTCAAAAATGCTGGAGAGCGATCTGACTGGTCTATTAAAAGCAAGGTTTTTTGAATCTTTATTTAACAAGGGCTTAATCTCTTATCTTGAATCTAATAACTTACTTTCTGATCATCGTTATGGATTTAGTATTAAAGTTGTTCTCAATAGACAGCAGTTTTTTTTATATCCCTTAACTTCAGGGGTGTCCTTTGGTTCTATCTTTAAATCTTTACTCTTTAATTTACATTAATGAGCCAATTTTTTTAATATAAAAACCTTGATAAAGATTTATACTTTAATTGTTAAAAAGAAGTTGCACTTATAAAATCTAAAAACCTGATTTACTTTTGAATATTTGGTAAAAAAATTGTCTTTTTATGGAGTACTGTTGCCATATCTGGGACTGATCTTCTAATAATGTCCTCTTTCTTTTAGGCAAGGCGCAAAAGGGCATTGTAAACATAGTTGGATCTGTTCCTGTAGCCAACCTTCACACTGTCGTAATGTTGCTTCTCTTTCTATTTTCTACAAATGCTATATTTGGCACTGCTCTAAAGAGCTAGTGCCTCTGTGCAATCTACTAAAATTAATTCTTGTGTTACTCGTCATTTAATTAAGTCTCTTCCTTTTTCTGTGGTTGTTCCTAAGTGCTCCAAAAACTCTTATTAGTCTAGTTTTTTGGAATTTGCTTCCTTTATCTTAGTTTCCTGATTCGTATAATTTGCAATCTTTTAAGTTGTCTTTCAATTGTTGTTTTCTCAATAAACTTCATCTTTTATCTTCCAGCAACTTCCAACAATAGTGGTTGCTTGAAGCTTTGTTGGACACAAAGATGTAAAAATAAAATTGAATGCTGTGTTATAATATTATGAGACATTCTATATTCATTTAATGTAAACGCTCATTTGAAATAATTTGAATGTATTGAATAGTTGAACTTTTCCTGCAAGCAAGCTCTCATGGTATTTTGGTTGTACTTCATTTTCCTTTTAGTTGATGTTTCTTTAAATAAACTTTTTAAATCTTGTTATGCTTTTACTTGCTTACTTTCCTTTTTCTAGGACTAAGATAATAAATTATCTTTGTGACAAAACTATATATATGAAAAAACAATGTGACATTTGACAGCAACAACTGTCACAATTAGTTGGTTTTTAAGTCACAGAAGAGAGAAATTTTTTAATTTTTTTCGTTTGAAACTATTAAATTATTATAGGTAATTTGCTATTTTAATAAAAAAAACTTTTCAGCTGGCCTAACTTGTATTAGAAGATAACACGACAAAAAAAACAATCTTTCAAAAGAAACTGATACAGATATCAAAGAAAAATAATCATTGAAAAATAGATTTTGCCAAAGTAAGTCGAATAAGCCCTTTTAAAAAACACAGTTTATATTTGTGCAATTGAAGAACTTTTTTTTTTAAGAATCAAAGTGTAATATTTCTGAAGTTAAGTTTAAGTAATAAAGGTCAAATAAAGAAAGGTAGTTTTGAATTAAATCAAAGAAAACAGGTGTTATAAAACAAAAACTAATAAAATTTAGTCGTGTCTTAACTTAATTGAATATTGTAATGAAAATTTAGCTCTGTTAAACTTAATAAAGTGGTGGGAATACTTCTGCTGATAGATAACTAAATTTGAATTTTATAACATGAGGGCATGTGATTATAAAGTGAATATGACTTTTTTTTTTTATTTATTTAGTACAAGCATCCTTAGCTGCCAACACGTTTGCAATCACTGGAAATGCAGAACATAAACGTAAGAAATTTTTGTAGAATTTATTTTTTATACAACATATATTTTGTTTTAGATATAATCAAAAATTGTGTTCAGTAGATTATTTTCGTTTTGGTTATAAAAAAAATCAGGTGCAATCCACTTTTACAGTAAAGTGCTAATCTCTAATTAACTAGCTGTTTTTAGTCAATAAAATATCAATAATTCTATTGAAGTAGAAGTTGTTAAGTGTTCTGAGGTTTTCATGTTATCAGGATAACTTTCACATTAATAAAGGGACGCTTTTATATTAAAGGGATCCTAAAAAGGGATATTAAAAGGAATAAAACTTTATAATAAATGCACACCATTAAATTTAAAATTCACGTTTTAGTCAAAGCTCACTGTCTCCATTTTTTTTGGTTCTCGAAGTCTGTATAATATTAGCCGCAATCTGCAAATTTGATAATTTATTCAATGCGTGTTAATTCATAACAGTTACGGTATATGACGTCATCGTATAAATTTTTCTTTTCAAGATGTTTTTTTATTATTATTATTTTTTTTTTATTTTTTTTTGTTGCCAAAATCGCCAAATCATGTTAATTGTATAACTTTTTACTAAATCCAAAAAAAGTTTATGATGCAATTAAAAATTTATAAAAATAAAAATTTAAAATATAAAAAATATTTACAGTAAAACGCACTGGTTTAAACAAAATATAAACTAGATACTAAAAGAATAATTTTACTAAACCGTTTAAGTTAATTTAAAGTATAAACGGAAAGAAAAAAAAAGAGTGACTTGAATAAAACATATAAACTGAGCAAAGTAGAAAATAAATATTAAACAACTTATTTTACTAATAACCGTTCAAATCAAACTAAATTAAAGTTCAAACAAAAATTTTTACTAAAATATACAAGAAATAGTAATAATATAAATATAAAAACAAAGAATCGCATTAAATTGTTCGCTACCAGCCAAACAAAAATATTTTTGTAGCAACCGCACTTTTTTTTGTATAACGTTTGAATAGCATAACATTGACAATTAATTAAAATTCGATAATAAAGTTTTTAACTTTATTTAAGTTTTTAAAAGTGAAATCTTGAATAGTCTTCTTGATAGCTTGAATAACGATTAAAAATAAATAAATAAAAAAAGGAAATTAAGATATTTTGAAGCAATCAGTCTTTTTGATTACTTAAAACGTTTTGTTTAGAAAGAGATTTCAGATAAAACTTTTTTTTTGAAGTAATCTGTCGTTTTACTTATTTAAAACGTTTCTTTAGAAAAACGTTTTGTTTAGAAAAACGTTTTGTTTAGAAAGAGACTTCAGATTAAACTTTTTTTTTTCTAAAATGCAACGATTAAAAATCAAATTTATCCAATCAAAATTTGAATAGCATAAATTTGAAAGAAAAGTTGCGTAACTTTATACGCTAAGACTTTTATTTTTTATATCTTTAAATTTTCAAATTAGAAGTAGAAGGTCAACCATAAAAAATTAGCAAAAACTGAATTGTTTTTTAAACTTTTCTCAAAAAATTAAGAAAAACTGGTTAAACAAGAAATATAGAATTTTGGACTCCCCTCCTCCGAGGGGAGTCCAAATATCTTTTTTAATCATTTTCTTGATTTGGGAGCCCAAATATCTTTTTTAATCATTTTCTTTAATATGAACACAACTTGTCTCGGCAGTTGGGGATCCCTTTAAGAATAAAATAACTTGATTAATCGCCAGATTAATGATAAAGTTCTGTGAGTCTTTTCTCTAATGATAAAGTTCTGTGAGACAATTTACATTGGTTTCATAAATTTTGATATTATAATTTCTCAGTATATCTGTACTACATACAATTTTTTCAAATTAAATTTTTTTGTATCATTTTCATATTTTTTGTATCATTTTCATATTTATTTACATTATTACTTATTATAAAGTAATATTTTTAATATTTATTCTATAAATATTTTTAAATTTTTAATTTGTATATTTTAGAACTTACTGAGATGCTTCCTGGAATTTTAAATCAATTGGTAAGTTGTTATTTAATAATTTTTTTGTAACTTATATCTTATATATGTTATAATTTTATAATCACTTTAAAACAATTTAAAATTGTTATAGGGAGCAGAAGGTTTGACCAATCTTCGAAAGCTTGCGGAGCGTCTTCCCCAAAGTAAGATGTTTATAAATAGACATGAGTTGTTGAAAATATAAACCACTAAAGTTAAGGATTTTTAAAAATATACTTGTTTATTTTGTAGCTCGTCTCGAAACTGCAACAGAACACGATGAAGGTGACGATGTTCCAGGTAACCTTATTGCATTATGTTAGGCTTTTTCTTTTAGAAAATAACGTACATTAATCATATCACAACAATTTTATTTAGATCTCATTGAAAATTTCGACGAAGCCTCGAAAAATGAAACAGCAAGTCATGAATAAACTCATCTTTTTCAAACTTTTCTTATTTTTAAAAGGATTTTTCTATCAGTTAATATTTTTTTAATTGACTTGCCCTTTTTATAATAGTTTTATCCGATTCGATGTACATTAGCGTGAGTTTTAGAGATAAATGAATCTATAAATGCAACACAGTCCAAAATAAATTTAATTTTTAAAATCTTCAAATACTATATTTGCTAAAGATGTGCTATTAAACACCTTAGACCTTTAAGAAAAAAAGAAAAATTGAAATAAATGCGCTTAAAAACATATTGCCAGGTGTAAAATACAATACTTTAAGTTTTACAACAAATCCGAATAAATTATCTCCTCTTAAATTATCCTGCGCTAGTAAAATTTAAGTGAATTTGAATATTTTAAGTTGCGCCAGATGTTAAAAGGTCTATTTCGTTAAACAAGGTATAAGTTTTTTTTCAATTATTCGTGTTTGTAATTATTAAACAGACATTAGAAAAACATTAAAAGAGTGGCATGTGAATAATTCAGCTATAAATCAATTTTAAATAGTTTATTTGGAACATAGTTAAATAGTTTATTTGGAAGCAGTTCGTTAGAATAATTTTAATTCTACAATTTAATGAAAAAAGCTACGTGCTTCATTATAAACCAAGCTAGCGAAAGTTATTCTTTTTAAGGGACTTGAAAAAATGTTTGAATCAAATCTGCAAACTGAAACATTTTAACTCAAAGTTTTGGATTGTATAACTTTATGCTTATGCCTGAAATAAGAAAGTCAATGGACTTACTAATTTCAGGCATAAGCATAAAGTTACACAACAACAGTATGATGAATATTATATATTTTTAACATTAAACAGTTCACTATATTTTTTTTCTAATGAAAATAATTTAAAAAAAATAGTAAAGAATAATTTAATAAAGACTTTTCCAAAATAAATTGATTAAATCTTAGTTAGAAAATTAAAGAAAAACATTTGCTTGTCAATTGTTTAAAATGCAGAAATAGTTTGATATTACAAATGTTTGTACCCTATTAAAGGATAATTATAAAAAAAAAGTAATGTTAGAAATAAAATTCAAACAATAATGATGGACAGTATTTAAAAATAAAATCAATATCAAGTTGAAGTACAAAAAAAGTACTTTATTTGTAAAAATCCTAAAACAAAGTTGATATTATCTGTGGAGAAATTTTAAAAAGCAACAACTTTTGATTTTAATACCCACTTATGTGGATCCATTATCAAATGAAACAAAGAAATGTTAAAACGTATTTAAGTGCTGATCAAATTGTGACTGATGACCTTAATAAAAGAAATAGCTTTCCAGTACAGATTTTTAACAGCTTAACACCTTTAGGTAGTTCTCCTCATTGTTTAAAATTGAAAATTGGTAGTGTAATTATGTTACTCAGAAATTTAGATCACAAACCTGGGTTATGAAATAGCACTAGAATGAAAGATTGTGTATGTGTTTCTGGTGGTAAACGGTTATTTGTTGCTCGAACTCTGGTAGCTCCATCAGATTTTAATTTAATTTTTGTTTTAAAACACTGTCAGTTTCCTGACAGTTTTATTGGGATATTCACTGAAAATAGTCAAACTCAAACATTTGATAAAGTAGTGTGTATCTTAAAAAACTCACAACACAGTTTTTTAGATATAATTTATGCTGGTCAACTTTATGTTGCATGTTCAAGATCATTCAAGAAGAATTTAATAGTTGAGTTTTCAAAATCGATAAACATTTAAGGTATGGAAGGTGGAAAATGTTACACAAATAATGTAATATTTTCTAATAAGCTTTAATTATAGTCTTTATATTTTTAAATTTGAAAATTGATTGTTTGTAGATTGCAAAAATGTGTTGTATGCTAATGTATCTATGTGCCAACTCAAATGCATATATATCACCTTTAGGAGTTACCTTTGGGGTGTGGGAAACCCTTAACACCCTATCTTTACAGATAGCCCTGTTTGTCTTATATGTTTATAGTTGTTATATGTGTTTATATGTGTAAAGTAAGATTGTATTTATTATATAGGGTTATATGTGTTTATAGCTTGTATATATACTTATACTATATTGTTTTCATATTTTCAAAGTGGTGCAACTTAGTAACCTGTAGAATATGGTTGTTAGGCTTGCCAGCCAAGCTGCGTACTTGCAAATGTCTTATGCTATATGTGTAATTGTTGTGATGTAATTTTTGTGATTTGTGTTGATAGACAGCTTGGCTTACCTTCCCGTTGGTGACTATCAATAAAAAAGAATAATAGTTACTTTTATTACATAGAATTCCTCCTTTCGATCATTAACTAAAAGTCAAAACAACATTTTGCTATAAATGCAACTTATGTCCTAATTTCATTTTATCTTTAGTATTGTTAATACTTTTGATCTTTGACACAGATTTTATAGTTTTATAGTTAAATAAATAAAATTCACTTCAATATCACAAAAGGCTACCATAAATAATCAGGTAAATTGATTTCGAATTTAAAATGTGGTGTATTTTTTTCTTTTATATAATGTCATAATTTAGATTTATCATGACGTATTTATCCAATAAAGAAAATCAAAATTGACAATTGTTATGTTTTTTTTAATTAAAATTTTTTTGTTAATTTGTTGAAAAGATATATTTTTTGCGTTTTACGTTATATTATTTAATAATTTTTATGAAAATATATAATTTGTTCATTTTATTTGATTTTTCTATATTTTATGCATAATAGTTTAAATGGTTTTACTTAAGTTTATACCAAAGCTGTTGTATTAATCTATTTCACTATTTACTAAAATGCGATGGCGAGTAAAATGTTCAAATCTACAAGAAAAGATAAAAAACCGTCCTTAGGTACAAAGTTGTGAGTAATGAACAAATTGACTACATCTTTAGGACATTTACGGAATTAATTTTATATAGCCGTGGTTAGGCCAATTTAAGTTACTTTTTCAATATCCAATAGTGGTAACTTCTAATATTTATGAAATTACTACGAATAATATAACTTGTATCTTATAGAGGGTATGGTTGATTGATTACTTATAATTGTTAAACTTTTCGGTATATAATTAGTAGGGCATCTTAAAATTTTATACCTACGTGGCCATCCATTTATTACTTTTTTAAATAAATTACGTGGGGGGTGGGGGCATAAAATGTATGTACGGATTGAGATGGCAGATAGTGTTCACTTTCCCATTAATAAACGCCGCTTATGCCGTCCAAATCTAGGGATTTTGGCGTGCATAATATATGGATCGTCTCAAAAGTAGGGTAAAAAGTATTTTGGAAAATTTTGCTAAAAATTTCCGTAAATTTTCTAAAAAAAAATTATTGCAATAAACTTATATTCTTATAAAATTCTTTTTTTCAAAAAAATATGCGTTTTATCATTTTAGTATTTGGGATTCTTTGATATTTCAATCAAAAATATAAAGAAATAGAGACTCGCATGCAAAAAATTCACATGTTTCAGTCAAATTTTTATAATCAAATTAACCAATTGAAAAGCGTTTTTCTAAAAGACACAAAGTCCATTTTCTCAAAAATTGAGTTTTTTCAACGTTCGAATTCTTTAATAAAGAAGGTACAAATCTATAATAACTACCTATGTTAGTAGCAATAAAAAAAAATTGTTCATCATCTTTATTTTCGATTACAAAATTATTGATATTCAAAAATTCTTCGCCGGAAAAACAATTTGACTTTGTTTTTCTCAAAAGAACAAAAATGTGACTTAGCGCCTTTTGGAAAAAGGCTCTGGGATCGTCCATAAATTACGCAACGCAAAACTTATTTTTAAAATATAAGTAGGAGATCATTTTGCTCTTTTGCGCGGTGGTTTTCGCTGAATTTTAAACGTTGTTTATATACTTGGTTTAATTAATGACTCTGCGAGGGAAAACTTTTAATACGTTCTCTTTTGTCTATAAGTTTAATTTCGTGTTACGTAATATATGGACCTCTTTAGTTTATGAATTGCGCATTTTTTTAAAAAACCAATTAAACGTTATAAATCTTTTTTTTTTTTTTGTCGGAAGGGGGGAGGGGGGGGGGGGCAAATTCGCTCAAAACTTCTTAAGCAAATCTGTCCTTTTAAAAAACTCTGATTCATATATTACTTTTGTGGAACATTAAAAAGTAGATGTTTTGCGAGTGTATAACATATTTATAGCTTTTACTTCTCTTAAGTACGGTGTAAAATATTCGCATGACAAAAAATAAAACCTTTCTAGATTTGCAAACTTTATTGTGTATAATTTTTGTATAGTGTTTTAAAGAAGCAAATATTTTTTATGAGTAAAGATTGCATATAGAATTTTTAAAAAAATAGGAAGATTTTTGTGTAAAAAGATTGCATTTTAAAACAATTTTACAAAAGCCTGGTCCGTAACTAGAAGAAGGTGGGGTGATTAGGATGACAACCCTATCACCCTCCTTTTGAAAAAATGTGCCGGTTTCAGAACTGTACTAAATTTATAGAAGAAAAAATAATATAAAAGTAGAAGGTATTTTTTTTTTTTTTTAATTTATGTTAATGCAAAATGTCTCATAATATCTACCAGTCTTAATTTTATCTATTAAACATAAAAAAAAAAAACATCTTACGTTTGCAAAGTTACAAAAAGCATACGCAATTCTTTTAGAGTTAAAGCAAGATAATTTTTTTCAAGTCCTAAATACACTCATATTTTTTAATTCGTTGATGTTTATTACATAACTAATCAACCAATTTTTGTAGTATTTAATATGCCATATGTATATGCATTCACATAATATGCCATAAAAATTGACGCAATTATACTTAAATCATACGTTGCCAACTGTTTGCTTTTCAATATATCGACATTGATAGCTTATTAAAACAAATATATATAAATGTTTTTTATTTTATCTTTAAGCTAAATCTTTAAACATTCTAGCTTTTTTCATGTCGTTTATTTAAAAAATTTTTTAAATGTAAAGTGGTTTCATTTTATGTTACATTTACAATTTTCGAATTAAGAACCATTGTTTGTAAGAACCAAGCAACTTTGAAAAAAACATCAACTAAATGACAAC